TTGATGGAAGACGTTAGGAGTATATAACTAAATGTACATTTTTAAAGAACAGAACAATAGTTAATCCTGAAAGTATAAATTAAATTATAATTGCCCCTGTCCTGAAAAGCCAACTAGCCTACTTTCTATCTACTTCATTTATTAAAAGCAGGAAAGGAATGGAAGGATTTTCCACTGTAGCCCCAGAGGCCTGAGGTTTCATTAGTCTGCAATCATACACTGACAAGTTGAATAAATTTTGCTTTACTTCAACTGAAAATTACTTGTCACAGGAAAGATGCCTAATAAACCTGCCATCCCTGTGTGAGAAACCAAGTGCTTTCATTTCTGAATCTTTTTGCATGTTGGGGCATGTCTGCTGTGCACAGAACAGATGACAGTACATAATATATCCAGAACTTTCTGTGGTCTGACAGTAATCATGTATGCTGCGTTTCCAAGATGAATGGGTTTCATGCACTCAATTACAGTACATTTATATTATTTCTTAGATAATATAACAGTATACACTTGCATCTTGCATATTTTATAAAAAATCATGGAAATGAATAAAAACCCTGAAAGAAACCAGAGGATCCATTAATCAAAATCAAAAGACAGTGAAGTCTAGAGATTGTCAAGAAGAAACGCCCATCAAAATTTCCCAGTCTAAAGCAGAGTTGTCACAATTTGTGTTCACAAAGAGGTTGATTTTACAATGATTTAAACTGGCAAAAAGTTGCAAATTCAATTAATTAAATAATCTACCAACCTTTTCATCATTTTTACAAAATAAAATGCCATCATGAATATTCTGTTGCTTCTCATGTGTGCAGTGAATTTTGGCCACTTATCTGTCTGTGGCAGACAGTTATGTACTGTATGTACCATGAGCTGTGTGAACTGTGTCAGCTGTATCATCATGCTGTGGTGCTGCTGGTGGTCATCATATCCAATGACTCAGAGTCACCCACCATTTCACCATGTCAGCATATCGTCCTCTCTGTATATGGTTGTGTATTTCACACTGCGACAAATGACGCTGCTGCTGATGTTTATGTCCGTGTGTGGATTCAGTTTGCGTGTGTCAATCTGTAATTACAAGAGTGTTTGCACATGTTTTTTTAAGTACGCAGATCTAGGCAGTTTATAGCCTTCTTCTTTACCAGATCACACAGGCTACCTCACTCCTTATTTGTGTTTCTGTATCTTCACAGGTTTTTTTCAGGAGAAACTGCAACTGAGATTTCGTAGGAAGTGTGACCTCCAGGGGAGAGAAGAGCTGTGTGTCATGTCGAACATTCTCACAAAGATCTGCATGCCGGTTTGATTGGTAATTACAGGATGTATCTGAGCGCAGAGCCTACCAACTGGTCTGCAAAACACATACACCATAAACACATGCCTGCTATACACTGTACCCACAGAGGATGCAGAAAGATGAGATCTTGAAGCAAAGATTTGACTGAAAGTTTTGTCTGCACTCACACACTCTTGTTTATCACCCACAGCAGTCCACCCAAAAAAAATGTCTCATCTGCCGAGCTCACATCTAGCAACTGCATGCGTCACAGCTACTGTAAAACAAACACCTATTATCCCCAAGAGATGTGACTCAAATCCCCCAGTAAGCCCACTCAAAGCCCTGGAAATGCAGGTTTTGCAGTGGCATGTCTCAGCCTGCCAAACACAAAGCCGACAACATCAATAGAGAAGCCACCACCTTCTTGTTGTCACTCAAAACGGACTCGCCTTGAGTGGATCCCAAGAAATGTGTATGTGTGGGTCTTTTGTTTGCTTATGTCTGGTTTTTGTCACATCTTTTCATGTCTTGCGTCTCTGAGTGTGTTTATTGTTAAGGCTGTGACTTTAGAAAACTTCCACACAAACTGTTGTTATCAGCAATAGTTGTGGATGTAATATAAAGGGAAAGATTGCCAAAGTTAAAAAAGTATAGATTTTGTTCCCTTCCAGAATTGTTCCATTGTATTTAAAAATGTCAAAGCTAATAGAGCAGAATGCTGGAATTTACCAGATGCAGGATTTGAGAAACATTAAAAGCTTTAAATGCAAATCTGTTTGGATAGAGGTTAAAGCTTTTTAAAGTGCTCCTTTTTAAGTATGATTAGTCTCTGTGCTCGCATTCTGCTTACTCAATCTTATCACTCCCTGTTGGAAACATGAGCTGAAATCGCTCTCCTCAACTCCTTGCATGGTTTTCATGGCAAACTTTCTCACAATCCTTTCTATTCTCTCTCTCTCTGTTGTGTTTTTCTCCCCCATTCATGTCCTCACCGCGTAGCCCATGTGATTGGTCAGAGGTTGTGGAAAGTTGGCCAATGGGAGGGCAGTTGCCAGGCAGCCTGTGCCTTGTTCAGAGGAGACAGGAGGCTCCCACAGCTGTTCTATTGAAAAGCAGCAGGACATAATAACAAGGGCCCCTCACCATACACACACACACAGACAAAGATACACAATGTGGACTGATTTAGATGTTATGGTAAAAAGTCATTTGCACTAGCTTTATTTTTGGCATCTGCTTTTTAAATATGAGAATAAATTACATTTACAATTTTATGTGTTTGTGTTTTATTAGAATTTGTATGCATTGTGTGTTCTTTGTGTTTCCACATTTCATGGTAAATAATTAAGGTGAGAGGACTATAAATACTTTTTCTCTGATTCTGTCTGCTTTTCTCAATACTACTTTTTAATACAGGGATGTGATAAAGGGGAAAAGCCAACAAGATAGGTTAACTTTATAGAAGTTTGAAACAGCTTGTTGTATGCAAAATGTGCAAAAAGTTTTATTTTAAAGGCTTCCCAAGTCCTGATGTCAATCCATATTGAGTAAAGAGTATCAAACAAAGTTATTTCATAAGGTTTTAAAAGGAAATAAGATTAGAACAACATATTTTCCCCCTTTATAACATTTTTCTTTTTATTAATACAGATAGTTGCTTCATTATCGCCCTTTCTATTGAATTTGTTTGCATGCAGTTGCCCGCTTATACATCCAGCAAATACAGGAAAACATTCAGAAACATTCACCTGGCAAATGAAAGTCCAATTTTCTCTGTCCTTTTAGCTCTGTTTTTTGTCTCCTCCAACCGTTGAGGAAAATGTGTGGATATTTATCTTCTAAATGCTCCATTATGTTCACTAGCTTGTTTCTAACTTTGTCTGGAAGTTTTTTCTGGGTAGGTAGCGTACAAACCAATGAGCTGAAATACACCTTTCACATTGTACATCATTTGACCCACTATTTATTTAAAGATATTGATTAGAGTAGCTAATTATTAGCAAAGCAGTGGCTGTAGTATGTTAAAGAACATCTGCAGGGACTTGTTTATGTGTCATGCTGTACTGAAAGAGGAAATCAGAAGTGAAAGAAAGAAAAACAAATCTAACTCTGACCTTGTCCATAGACGTGTTTTGCAGTGTGACAGATTACTTAATAGAACAGGAGAATTGTTAACCAGGACCAGTGACCCACATCACCCAGCAAAACATTGTCCATCTGTCCCTGTGTCCTGCTGAAACAATACAACCCCTATATACATCCTGTGCATTTTTCCACCCACATATTTCACACTTGTTGCCTCTGTGGACTGCAAATGCTATGTGACGAGGTGCATCCATGCTGGTGCGGAGAATAAAGGCAGAAGTGGGAGGCTGTAGAGTCTAACAGTGCAGACTAGTAGATGGACATGCTTCATATAGCATATGGTGAGCTTTTCTCAATAATCAGCTACGCGTGCACACACATACACACTCAGCAATATCATCATTGTGCTCTAAATGGAGATTAGAGCAACATATGACCCACCCTGGAGGAACAATGGAGTAATTTAAAGGACAAAAGGAGCCGCTCTGCTACAGCGCTTCAGTATTGCTCTTCAGAGCAATATGTGGTGGCCAAATGTCAAAGCTGCCTCAAATTGTTGCTTTTACAGTCCTCTTCTCCACTTAGAGAGAAGGGAAAAAATGAATGGATCAGTTGTCTTCTCCATGGGAAACATCAATTGTGAGGATGCAAAGACTTGTACATGTGAGTCTGTGTGTGTGAGCAATCAATATGCCCCCTGAGATGTATTCTTCAAAGTGAGAGTTCATTGTAGAAGGAGTCTTCTTACTGTGCATTCAGACCAAACGCGAATTTAATCCTCCCAACACTTTCCTCGCACGGGGTTTATTGCTGGACAACTGGCAAGTATTCACACACAACGCCATAACGCAAATAAACACAACTTGCGATTACTACAACTGTATGAACCCAACTGTAATTTAATAGCAATAAACAGAACTGATGCCAAAATAACTACAATTTGATGCTGATTTGTTAAACTTTTTTATTCATGTTTTGTCAGGTCTGCAAGACTGCATGACAACAACTTCTAAAATGTTTGTTTTCTGAATGGAGTTTGGATCGGTCAGGGCTATGCTATGCTAACTTGTTCACAGTACAAGTACAATGATAGCTAGAATAAAGTTACACCTCGAGCTCCTCCCGCGAGTATTATGGGTGTTACTTACTGTCTGTCCTTTTTCCGCCGGGCCAGCGGTGTTTTACTTCTCCGCTCTGCCTGGCCCTCTCCACACAACGCTCTGAAGCCGTCAGTGACGTCCGGATAATGTCAACGCTGATAAGTTATCGCGACTTAGCGTCATGCAACTTTCTCACTTGAGTTGAAAATTTTCAACTCACCTGAAGGCCCTCGCGTCGCCGGCAGTGCGCCCTCCACACCGTACGACAGGAAATCGCTGCTCTCCACGTCTTTGCATTGACTTTGTATGTAAACGCAGTGACCCCAACACTCACTTCGCTTTTGGTCTGAAAGCACCATTAGAACAACAGACAGGAAGATAAAACTAAGAATGTATATTTTTTTTTCATAGTTTAATTTGTTTTCTAATGAAAAAATAATAACCTCCTTTATGTTCTGCACTGTTCCCACAGCTTACTGACTGAGTCAAAGTGTAAACCATGTTAATATTTTACTTTCTCAGTGTGTGCAGTGTCCCGGTCCCGCCAGCTTTTCCTGACCTGTTTTGATCAGTCTGTCCTGACCATGGTTGTGCTGTTTATGAGGAGCTGACTGACCTGCAGACCTGTTAGATAAGCTTCATTAACACCAAAGAAATAACTTCTATGCCAGTTGGAGCCTTTGATTTCATGGGACTTTCTCACTCAAACTTCAAAGCTAAGTGTAAAAAGAGCCTGAAAGATGAAGTCTAAACTGGTGTTTCTATGCTTAAAATTCTTATTTTGCCTCCCTCTTCCTCATCCCTCTTTTCTCCAAAGCTTCCAGTCATGTTGCATTTTCTGTCACACAAGAACTCGTACTAAAATAAAAACACAGGTTTAATTTGATGGAGCTATTCTAGGCAGGGTTAAGACAACAGACTGTTATGGGGCCTTCACTCATGATGGCTCCCACCCTCTTTGTAGAGAAGTCAGGAAAAATATTTTGATGTGGAAAGAAACTTCTGCAAAAGAAAGAATAACGCATAGTCTGTGCACTTCCTGTCTCTGTCATTCTCATACAAACCAAAACTACTTGACCTAAATTCTTATTTTCTTTTCACTTTAGCTCATTTTGACACTAGGGCACTCCAGTACGGTCAAGAGAGCACAGTCTGGCATTTCGATTTTCGTAAACATCTAAAATGTTCAATTGCCCAAAAATATTAACCATCCTGGACAGTACCAGTCTCTTTTCTGCTGCCATATACCTCCGACCTGGAATGGTCAATGTTTGTTAATGTTTACTTTGTCCACAAATGCCTAATATCAGGACTATTTGTATATAATGTCAAAGAAATTACATTAGAAAAAGAAAATTTGCAGTACAATCTGCACACTGTTCTGTTGTGTGCTGTTGTCCAGAGAGTCACACGCTGCACACAAATGTGGGCCTGACAGTCTTATCCAGCTAACAAATTGATCACAGTCTGTGACCTTTGCCCTTGTTAACCCCCTGCCACTGCCATACTGCCAGCAGTCATGCTCCGAGCAGATGGGATAGTTTGGGGGTTGGTTCAATTTTGCACAGCCATGTTGTCACTCAAGCCTTCGCCTTCTACTGCCTGTATTTCCCACTACCTCATTTTACTCAATTCTTCTCTCTCTGCCCTCCCTCCCTCCTGGATTTATGCCCTCTAGTTACATCATATTGATGTTTGGTCTGTTTACTGTAAATTAGACTGTTCTTCAAAAGGAAAAAAACCCAAGGCAAGCGGTGCTAATGTTGTCATCAGTTATCTGTCCAATTACCATAACCTACAATCAATACACACCAGAAGCTCTATGGTGCAACGCACACGCACATTTGACTAAAATGACACACACCTATACTCACATTTACTCATTCGTACCCGCCAGTGGACACACACATATACCCATTCAGACCAAAACCTCATGCAAATTCCATACTGGACTGTGAGGCCACTTACCTGCCCTGACCTCAGTTTTTTGGTGACAAACCCATGACACATCACCACTGAGACTCATTATTTTTCCACTGAGGTAACGGTAAATAGGTTCTTTTCTGATGTCCAAGCTTCAGAAACCAGAACTTCAAATGAGCTTTTATAACAAAAAGATAACCCAAATCCTAGCATTTAACCACATCTGTAAATGCCACTTATGCTGCTTCAAATCTGTGACCTAGTTCAGGGGGAAAAATTTCTTTCATCATTTAAAATGTATTTCTTTACATTTGGGGCCTTGCCAAAGAATATAAAAAAAAAAAAACTACAAGGGTGAGGGCAACTGTTGAGGCTGCTGGGCAGCTGTCAGGGCATTTGTGTGCACTGGGAAACAATCATTCAACTGTAGAAGTGATTTAGCTAGAAGGCAAAAGCCCAGACAAACAGATTTTATATCACAAGCTTTGTCTGTGAAAGGGATTTTTAAAGCTGCAGATGTGGTATCAAAGCTTGAGAGACAGATAAAGTGGAGTTTTTACTGTAAGTGGTTAAAGGGAGGGTAAAACAAAGCAATGTCTTAAAATTTGTCTCTAAAACAAGAGATGTGGGTAATTATTTGTGGTAAAAGGAGAGGAAATGGCCATTTTGAATCCCTCAAAAGGACACATACAGTAGGCCTACACACACTGAAAAACACTGGTATTTTTAGCCTAAAACAGGTGCAGGTCTAATAAGGAGCCACCCCCATCTCTCTGCTTCTTCCATTATTGCTGCTTTCACACCTCATCTCCTACACATTACGTCACCTTCAACAGGAAATGAGATGCACAGCTCAAGGTGTTAGGAGACGTCTTCTAATGGGTTTTATTGCAATCAGCCCCATTTTCCTGCCACTCAATATTCATGTGGGTGATGTTATTTGTCTTTCTTATCATGGTTCAGAAGAACAGAATCGATTTAGGCATGGACACAGACAAAACATTAACACATCTGCTGTATTTCCCCATGCAATGTTATGCAACACAAGGTACTCTCAGCGCAACTAGTGCACTTATGCGTGGGTATATGCTGCCTCTCTGTGGCCTATAAATGCATTGCAGTTCAGTCTTTTCACAGTTCATGTTTTGTACACTAGATGTCAGCATTTAGCACATGTGTGCATGGAAGGATAGTTCTCTGTTTCAAGATGCAGTTTTACTGAGCTATTTGGACTGACAGAGTAGCATCAGTCCTCAATCCAGATTTGAAGCGTTATCCATATAACTCTAAATCTGCTTCTTAGGTCAAAGTTCTATTCTCATAAATGCTTGAGCAAATTTCCAGCTCAAAATAACCTCATTTTACAACACAGTAAATGAACACCTTGCCTCACTGACAAGATGTAAAACTGTCCAAAGCATATTCTGGAAGGGGTTACTAAAAATGTGTTTATGTGAGTGAACTCTATCCAGGACCCTTGGGATAGTCTAAAAGGAATGCTCAGTCATGTGTATGACCTGACATGATGGACAATGTGACAAAAACATGAAAGAACACAGACAAGAACTTGATATTTTGAGACCCAGTGGGCTGTAAAAAGAGTGTATGATTACTGGAACTAGACTTCTTCCCACCCAAATATAGATAGTGCAGCTGAGAAGTAAAGAAAACATCCGTTTGAAAACTGTCATATGCAGTGTCACTTTCTGATATGTTTTAGAAGTAGATGCATTTTGTAGTAATAAATGGTGAATAGTAAGTCTAAGTGGTCTAATGTATTGATGAGAAAACTGAAAACTGATTTAAGAACTTGATGATAAAGATCTGATAAATTATAAACATAGGTATTAGACCAGAACTAGAACTGAAATAATGAGTCTATTAATCAATTTGTCGATCGTAAGAAAAATAATTTTGCATGATTTTGATTTTGGTTTAATTCATTTAAAATGCAAAAATATCAAACATTTTCTGGTTTCAGCTCCTCAGTGTGAGGATTTATTGCTTTTCTCTGATTTATATCATTATAAATTGAATATCTTTTGGACATTTTAAGATGTCGCCTGTAGAACGGTGGGTACTTTTGTTTTTTTACATTGATTTTTACATTTTTGTCTGACATTTATTAGACTAAAGATAGAAATTATCTGCAGATTAAATTGAAAATGAATGACAATTGATTCATGACATATTCTTCACTTAAGTTTTGCCTTCACCACTAGAATCATCACTTGTACAGTGAGGCAAGGGGACAGGCTAAGAATGGGTTAGTATAAGTAACAAAAATCAGGTCTTACTTTGATCCCAGCTTTAACCACATCTGTAAATGTCACTGAAGATCTTATTTCAATTTAAATCTGTGATTTAGCTAGAAAACATTATCATCCTTTGATCATTTAAAATGATTTTCTTTACATTAGGACTTTAAAAACCAGACCAGACTAGTCATAATAGACAAAAAAATATATTTTCACAGTTCCCTTCATGAGACGAAGCCCATTCAAGAATCTAACTTCAAGCAGTTGGGAAACAACAAATCAAAATCCAATTGCATGTTTTGGAAAAAAACACAAGCAAACCTTAACTACAAGTCACTTATTAGCATCAGCAGTCACCAGACTTCCAGAAGATTATTAGCATATGGGTCAAAGGCCAAGCAGTTTCCAGGAGCTACTTGTCACCCACATATAACCACTGGGATGCTAATGTCTCCCCACCGTGGAGCAAACAGTAGCCACTGTAAAAACCAACTGTCACCTCTGACCTCTCTTCCCTAAAGTTGCCTTTCCCGCTATTGTTCCTTCAGATTCCTCTGATGTTGAGGGTAAGTGTGAGAATTCTCTTCCAGATAAAGGCATTTGAGGAGTCATTACCTCCTGTGTGTGTGTGTTTGTTTGTGTGTGTGTGTGTGTGTGTGTGTGAGAAAACTCTTTATACTGAGAGGGTCACTAAAAGAGATCTCTAAAGTCATATATTGCTGGTTGGTGGTGTGCCGTTCAAAGATTGCCCCATTTCTTCTGGACTCTCTCAGTCCATACAGAGAAACAGGTTTACACTGACAAATGCAGGACCTCAGATCTGCCACATAACATGTCAGGTAAGTGACACTCATAAATCAAGCTGAATGGCTGTGTTGTATTATCTGAACCTTCTCATATGTTTGGGCTATATTGTGATGTCTTAAACTCTGATATTTTGTTGACATTGAATTTACTTCCTTGTTGTTTAGTGATCCATAGACTCCACTATTGTGTATTTGAAAACAATATTTGCAAAATCAGCCATTTTTTCCTTTTCTTCTGACATTATTAAAACCCAGTTTGCAGGAAGGTATTGAAGTGGTAACCCCTCCCTGAAGGTGACTAAATACAAATGTCTATAAAACATTGTTAGGGCATCAGTTAATATACACACATACATATGCTCCTTTTGTTTGCCAAAAAGTAATACACAGACAAGAGCAGATGAATTGTAGTTAACCATGTTTTACAGCTGGGGTCTCTGAGACCCCAAACAGAAGTAATGCGCCATTTTTTCAGTTCATCAGTTCAAAATCATGTTTATGAGCAATTTTAATTAAAGTAGGAAAAGTCATAAAGTATCAAACTAAAATGATCTCAAGTATGTTGTTAGAGGACCCAGGCTCTCCAGGACCCCAAACAAAACATCAGGGTTAAAACCACTGAAAGATATTCAAAGATATTTTGATGGAAATCTTTCTAGAAAATGTTCTAATTCGTATTATATTCTCATCTTAAATCCCCTCCTGATTTTGCTCCCCATGTCTTTTCAACAGATAAAATGGAAGTGCTCAAACTGCTGCTTATGTTCCTCACAGTTTCTGGATATTCATATGTACTGCAACCCAGTAAGTATAACAACATTTCAAGCACATAGTAAAACATACTGTACTTCAGTAACAATTTTGACTTTTAAATAAAGATTCAATCTCTTACTAATTATCCCAGTCCTCCAAACAACAGGTCATAAACACTTCCATGCTAATTATTTCATTAGCCTTTCAAAGGGAATGCTAACTGTTGCAACATGGTGTTTGTATTAAGAAAAAAATGTATTTTACATAAAAAAGTAGTAGATACTTTAGTGAACTATCTACTGAAAGTTGTTGCTCTCTTTGTACTGTAGGACTGACAGTCACCCAGATAGCTGCACTGGACAGAGACCACCAGTCTGAGATGAGGAGTGAGCCGCTGAGAAATGTTTCTTTATCAGCGGAGGAGAAAGAAAAGTCTGTTGAATCCACTGAGAGAAGGAAAACACAGGAGGAACAGAGGAGTGAAGGACTGACTCCAGAAACAAAGCCAGAAAAGACGAGGATGAAGGAAAAAATAGAAGTTGAAATGATAGGTTTCTTCGACAGTAGTCAAGAATATGAGGAAGGAGGTGAGGAAAGGCTGATTCCTGAAACGACATTTTCAAAAATTTTAGGGGAAGATACAGATAAAGTAGATGAAGTGGAAAGAAGAGTAGATGGACCAAATCTGAAGGCAAATGAGGAGAGCCAGACAGATAACTCAAAAACACGAGAGACAATAAAAGCGGTCCACAGTCATAATACAGGGGTACAGAAGAAGGGAAAGGATGACAAGATAAAACTGAGGCAAGACAAAGAGGAAGAGGAAAGAGAAAGCAAGTTGGTTGCAGGGATTAATCATCACGAGGACACTAGAGGGGTCGCTAATGAGGACATAGAAAAGATGGTAACTGTCAATCAAGGGAATGTGGAAGAGAAAAGAGGAAATGAGGAAAGGGGGAAAAGAGCAGAAAAGGGGGAGAGCATTACAAATGCAAACCATAATGAATTAGTAGAAAGAGAAAAGGAAAATGACATAGTATTTGGCAATCTCACACCTCCTTTAAGCACATCCTCTACTCCACTGGGGAAAGACTTTGAGATTCCTGCCACACTTCAAATTATCACTCAGTCTCCAAATCCTACTACTTCTCCTCCTGTTCAACATCATAATGTCCCTCCATCACTTCTGGTTACACCCACACAAGTTTCTCTAGTGTCCTCTCTCCCTCGCCCCCTTTATGCCAAAGTTAGTCCTCAGTTCTTCCCTCCCTCTGTTACTCTTTCCAATCCCACAACAATCAGTCACATCTCAGTCTCAACAGTGCTTCCTGGTGAGGTGAGGTCTGTCTCTCTCCTCACTGAGGTGTTACAGAGTCCTAGACGCCATCTCAAGCAGAGTGAACTGGAAGCAAAGGCTGGCCCAAATTTAGAGGATGTAATGGTCAAAAATCTACTGTTTAAACCTGCTCGGACGGTGATACAAACCACAATGGATATAAACACCGCTGTTCAACCACAAGAGACTGAATTTATCCCTGAGGTGACTGCAGCAACACCAAAACAGCCAAACCCTAAACCGAAATCAAATGAAAATAATCCCACTGCTCAACCGGTCGAGTTTACACATAAACCAAACATGACACAGCCCACAGGCGAACCCAAAGCATTTAAACTGGTGGAAAATGACACCAAACTTACAGTGAGGCAAAATAAAGCATCTCTTCCTCAACCACAACTGGCCAAACCTTCAGCCAAACCACAGCTGACAACTACACCTTCATTGAGGCCAACGAAAATCAATAGAAGTAGCAAAAATAAGTCCAAGGAAAAGAAAAGGAAAAAGGACAATAAAACCCAAAAGCCATCAGAGAAGAAGAAGGAGGTCATTACGCCAGCACATTTTCCTTACTTTATGGATAACTACTGTCCGCCTGAGTGTGCCTGCTATGGAAGGTATGACATTAAAGATTGATTGATTTAATAATTGATTTAAACATAATATCCTCCAATACATTTCTATACTTAACTACATTATTAAGTGATGTTTCTGAAATTAATATTCAGGTCTAGGTCTAGATATTTACTGCTTTTATGTTCTCCAATGTGAGTGGTTGGAGTATTGGTTTCAGAAAGGTTTGAAGAGCAATGTACATGCTTATTCTCTTTATGTATTGTGTTCCAGAGTGGTCCAGTGCTCAGACAAAGGTGTGGATAATGTTCCTTATGGTATTCCCTATAATGCCCGCTACATCCTCCTCATGAATAACCACATCAACAGCATCCAGCTGGACCTGCTCAATGAATATGTTTCTATGGAGTTCCTAGTGTTGAGCAACAATTGGCTCACAGATGGCGCCATAGAGGGAGCCTTTGAAGGGGTCCCAGCTCTGAAGCGCCTCTACCTTGATAAGAACCTCCTAGAAACCGTGCCAACTGACCTTCCAGTTTCTCTCGAGGAGCTTCGTTTGGACAATAACCGGTTGATTGTGATGTCTGAGGCAGCCTGGGCCCAGTGCCCCGGCCTCTTGGTTTTGAGCCTCAGCAACAACACCCTGGGTAATGGATCTGAATCCCTTCCTAATGCAGTTTTCTCTCCTTTGTGCAACCTGCGCACTCTGAACCTGGATTACAACCAGTTAACATTGGTTCCTCTGGGCTTACCACTGTCCATTAAGGAGCTCTACCTCAAAGGGAACCTCATTGTGCAGTTCCGCACAGGAGCCTTCAATGGGATATCCGATCTGGTGGTGTTAGATATGAGTGCAAACAGACTGACAAACAAGGGTCTTGTCAGGGAGTCCCTTCTCAATGCAACTCACTTGGAAAGCCTCAACTTAGAGGGGAACAGGCTAAAACAAGTGCCAAGACACCTTCCCCGCTCACTTAAAACTCTAAATCTGGAGGGAAACCTCATATCTTCCATAAAGAAAGCTGATCTCAGCACCTTGAAAAACCTGGAACACCTGGGTTTAGCAAGGAATAAAATTTTCAAAGTGGCACCAGGGGCATTCAGGACATTGCCTGTTCTGCACCTGTTAGACCTGTGCCACAACACCTTGCACCAGGTGCCCAGACAGCTACCGCAGGCTCTGCACTCAGTTGCACTCACACACAACAAGATTCAGTCAGTGCCTCGTGATGCTTTCTGCTGGGGTAATAAAAGTCTGACTCTCAGCAGGCTTGTACGAGTACAGTTGGAACACAATTTAATTGATATGGGAAAACTGGATGCACAGGCTTTCAGATGCTTACGAGGATTCCAGGTAGTGCACTTCTACTGAATATTCAAGGGAAAGCATACAAACAATTGTGCTGCTACCTGTAGGATATTTTTAAGCAGTAAGTGGGGGAAAATACATGTTTAAGGTCCTTACTGCCTTACTTTGTAAGCCTTATCCAAGACATGTGGTGAGTGCCATTTCTATACCAGAAACCATTGGTGAAACTGAGTAAAAATATATTTATTGTGTATGAAATTAAATTTTTTGAGACTCACTGATGCTTTTATGACAGTCATTCTCTTTCCACAGACACACAGAGTTTTTACCAACTTGCCTTAAGGGTTTGAGAACAATTTATTATTGTAAATGCAACAGGAAAAGGTCTAACTACATTATCAGTAACCAAATGTATACCAGACTTTATACTGTTATAGACCTCACTGGTGGTTTCCTCATGACCATTTTCCAAAGCAAAATTTTCCAGGTTCCTGCCAACAAGTGGTTTCCATTCTTTGCAGTGAAATCAAACTCACTCAAAACTTTCATGAGATGGGTAATCAAAGACACATTTATCATCTTTATTTTACATCTCTGATCTATCCCCGATGGCACATTTGAGTAGACAGCTGCCGAAAAGTATTTATGTTCCATCTGGCAGAAGATTAAATTAAGGGTGCTTAAAATAAGCAGAGTTTTAGCGGTTCTCTCTGCAGTTCCACCAACAGGGACAGTTTTTAAAACATCCCTGCTCACACATTGACAAAACAATATAAATGTTTTGGAAGATGATTTTCATACCACAGTGAAATGTATAACTCCCTGAAACTCTTTTTACGTTGTGATTTTCTTTTTTGTATTTGCAAGCTCCTTCAACTTTATGTGGATGTTAGAGGTTTCTAGCTATAAATGCCCTCTCTATGAACTACTATGTTCATGGTGATGAGTTCAATGATTAGAATCACCCATCCTTTCCTCTATATAGGTTGCTCAGATGACTTTTGAGGGATTATATCAAAGTTATAGTAGTGTGCAGCTCCCCGCTCCTTCCTCCCTCTGAGCTAGCGCCTCACTAAAATAGGTGTGCTTCTTTCAGGGAGAAGTATATCTCATATGAATTATTTGTCCTGCATGCTCAGTTACATCGAGAAGCAGATATTGCTTCTTTGAACACAAACAGCAGTAAATGGCTGAAATCATTTGCCCAACATATCCAACAGAATTCTTAATAGCAACTAAAAATCACATTTGCTGTTTATTATTTGAGCTTTCCTCAAGTTGGGGTTTAATTGAGTTTTGCTTTGTTTGCGCTATCATTAACTGGCAATGACTGCTACAATTTAATACTCCAAAGTCAGTTCTCCTATGCTCATAAATGGACACTGATCCAAATGTTCCACTGTAGAGCATTTTTACCATTTTCCATAAGTTTTTATCCCCATGTTTATTGGTGATGATTCCTGCTGGATTCGCATTGGAGAAAAAGAATATCATTAACTTGTCAGAATCTGTGCAATTTCAAATAATGAAAATGTGGAACAAAATAAAATCATACAAATGGTGACATGCTGTGTTCTCCCCGTGTCAGTGTGGGTTCTCTCCGGGTGCTCCGGCTTCCTCCCACCGTCCAAAAACATGCGGGCTAGGTTGATTGGTTACCCTAAATTGCCCTTAGGTGTGAATGTGAGCGTGAGTGGTTGTTCGTCTATGTGTGGCCCTGCGATGGACTGGCGACCTGTCCAGGGTGTGCCCTGCCTTGCACCCGATGTCAGCTGGGATTGGCTCCAGCCCCCCCGCGACCCTGTACGCAGGATAAGCGGTGGACGATGGATGGATGGATGGATGGTGACATGCTGATAAACAAGACTAAAATGCACTTGAAATGTATATTTAACCCACTCAATTATAAAAGTTAAACAATGTTTTATAAATCCATCCTGCAAGATACAATTCAGTTTGGCTTTCATAATACAGAGGCATAAATAACAATAACAATGAATAATGGAAATTGTCTGTTTAATGAATAAACAAGACAAATTACACATGTCAGAAGATTTTATAGCAAAGACTAACGTGTGTTTATTTGCTAGTGCAGCACATAGGTGGTAGCTCCTTATGTTTTATCTTACAAAGCTCCCATGCAGTAAGTGCTCTGTAAACATGCCAATATATATAAAACGTAAATGTGTTGTTAACAAAATATCCACTAGATGGCAATAATGTATAGGAAAATAGTTTTGATGAGGGGCCGCCTCTGTTTGCAAGTCTGTGTAAAACGAGATACATAAAATGAAAATGGAGATTGAATTTGGCTCTTCCCCAGTTGCCAAATAAGAAATTGTGTCAATTAAAATGCATATGCTTCAGGAAGTTTATCTTGTGGGGAAAGTGGTGTATTTAAAGTTCGCCCCAGACTGGAAACTCAGCTATGCAAGTAAGATACACTCAAACATACGCAGTCCACACACACAGACATGAGTCATAAGATTTTCAAAAAGAGTTGTTCATGAACTTCTTTTTTAAAAATGTGAGGTTATTCGACTTGACCACAAGCCAGGAAAAAAAATATACATAAGAAACAATTAGTGAATTTTCTTAAAAGAGAAAAGCACAAAGAAGGCAGAAGTGGAGAAAATGGATTAGCCCACGTGGAGGTGCTTTGCACTTTTCCCTCTTTTTTTCCCCTCAATCCCTCACTCTAATAAGTTCACTCAGCAACGTGGCACTGCACCCATAGGGCCTGGGGAAGAAGAGCAGGAGGAGGGGGATGAGAGGGAGGGCTGGGAGGAGAGAAATGGGGTGGTGAAGAAGAAGAAGAGAGAGCAAAGGGGAGGAGGGAGAGCTTGAAGGATAGATCCAAGCTCCACAGCTTAGCGCGTGTCCAGAAGGGAAGAGCCTCGGCTGGGCAGGGAGCTCACCAGCACCTCCCTACGGTCCAGCAGGACCCTGACCCCATATCACAACACCACATGTCCACCTGGATCCACTCGAAACCCTCCTCCCCGCTTTGTGTCTGCTTTTTCTTGTCTTTTTTGCTCTCTTTTTTCTTTTGCATATTTTCTTTTAACACACAGATTGGACTGTGAGCCCATTCATGCATATGTGCCTTCACGCGTATATGCTACCTGTGCGCACACTTGGTTCCACAGTCATCTGGTGTGCGTGTGTGTGTGGGAGTAGCATACATAAAGATCATGTGAACTGCTCCCTTGATAGAGTCTGAACCCATGTGCTCATTTAAGTAGTTTGGCAGATGGTGAATTTATTTGTGTACCTCTGTATCCTGTGCTGGATGCCGTCTGATATTTAAGCTTATCCCAACAGGAGGTTTGCAGGATTAGTTGTAGTAAGGACGCTTGCTTACTGCCAACTCTCTCAGGACTTACCTGTGTTGGTTACATTCTTATGTAAACTTAATCTCTCTGAGTCTTTAATTAGATTTTCTGCCTCAAATAATAAAAAAACATTGCCTTTCTCTGATTCTTTTTCACTCAGACGTGACTTATAAATCAGTGCGATCAGTTATAATGCTGGAGGCAAAATCAAACCACAACACCATTAATACACCATCACCCCTCTCCTTGGAGGGAGATGGCACAGCTGTGCAGAATGCATGAAGTGCTAATACCTAAACATCTTTGGTATTCCTGTGGTTGTTTATCTTTGCCTGACTGAGAGTCTTGCTGTTTTATCATTGTTATCCAAACTAACATTTAAAAGTAAAGTCATAATTTTGGAAATTATTTTTTTAATGGGAATAATTCACTTATTGACTCCAGTAGGTGTATATACAGTAGCTGAAAATACAGATTTGAGCCCTTTGTGATTCTTTTGTTCTAATGCTGACCAGCATGCGGTTCAGTGCGGTCTTACAGGAATCAGGCCACGCTGAGAGAGAATAGGAAGACAGAAAAGAACATAGGGAACAGGATATTAAACCACACCCTACTTGTGAGCCAGCCAGACGATTAGACAAGCAGACAGAGCTGTGGCGCTATTCAGCTGACGGTCCTCTTTTTCATGTGTATGATTCTTTGAGTCCTCCTTCCCATGATACATCAGGATCTGAAAAATAACTGTAAATTTGTCCATTTGGTTAAAATGTCTCTATAAATTTGTTGCTCAGTATCAATGGCTTGTAAACGTATATGCTCCAATTCTAAGAAGCCACTGAATGACATTTTAACTTCTTATGTTAAAGGTTTGAACCGCAGCAATTTTATAGAAAATATATAAACGGGAAATGGATATGTTACAATGACATTTACGATTGACAGCGTATAATTTGTGGCAAATTTTTTTTCACATACAGTAATTGAATACAGTTGTAAGAAATGCACAGAGACAGATGCAAATTTGCTGTGCATAGGGACGCTGGCCCATCTGTCTCTCTTTCTCTCTTCACACACACACATCTGTTTGTCTTATTATACCGTACCATGAAAACCTGACAAACCCAAACCCTGACACCCAGCTATCTCAGCCAATTTAACCTTAAACCTTAAGTCAAAGCAAGCCTAATCTTATCTCCAACCTTAAGCCTGAACTCCAAAGTTAGAATTGACCATAATGACTTCACTCCCCTCTGAAACTCATTCTCAGAAGGATTTAAAAGTCCTTGTGAAGGGTTAAAATGGCTGCCTCAGAGCAGAGTGCTATTGCATGTGTGAGAGGGAGGTGGCGCTTGAGTTGAGCTGAGAAAAGGGGGTGAAATGAGAACGAAAGAAGGGAAAGAGGGAGGGGAGAATGAGAGGGAGGAGGGGATAGAGAGAGAAACCATGGGAGCCAGAGGGACCTCTAGACATGCACACGTACAGCCCATCATCTGGTCCTGGTCTGGACCTGCACCGGCAACACGCACACAGGCAGAAGCAGACAAATCACAGATTTTGCACTTAGTCACGCACAAGCACATATGCAGGAACAGTATGGTGCGTATGGTAAAATTATACCGTTTTGCATACACAAATTTACACAAACACACATTTTAAGAAGATATTCAGTGAAGCCTCTGCACTGCCATTACACACATACATGCACACACTGCACACATATGCACTCTGTTATTCAGGGGCTCCACAAGGGGGCCTCTGAGCGTTCCTGTTTTGCAGAAATGCTGCACATCTTGCTCCAAGCAAGAGCACATTATTCTCTGTAGCTTCTTGTTACGACACTAAATAAACTTGGATAGTCATAAAAACAAAACCCAAATCAGCTTAAGATAATACCTGCTACTGTTGAAAAGAGATCTGCATCTACATTGGCTATTTAGAGAAA